ACGAACTCTATATATGCCGTTTCAGCTTGGAAAGAAAGCAAGAGAAGAGATACAACCTTAGAGTAAAGTAGTTTATCTCATCTCCTTCCCTGGTGATTTTCCTCTTCCCCTGACGAACTCAACGAACCCTAGCCATTTCCACCGCTATCCACCTCAAATCCCTGGCTGGGGCGTGACATGTGTCCCCCCGAGTGATGCTACAGCTTGCATTGTTAAGGAGTTTGTCAGAAAGAATGATGATGTCCTTCCACAAGAATGAACCTGTAGAGCTGAAGGCGTGCAGACCAACCTCACGTAGTGTTTCTAGACAAGTTGTACCAAGGGGGATGTCGAGCTTGTTGTACAATTTATTACGGAATTTCAGCAGAGGAGCTCATTCTGGACTGGGAGATCAGGATACCCACCACCATTCAGCTTCGGCTTGCAGACCTTGTTCCAGGTAGCCATCAATTTAGATCTAAACGTGATTTCCAAATTTCCCACAGGTATATACAGCAAGCGCGGTCAATAGTTTCTTTAACTCCCTCCGGCAACCTCAAGGAGCAATTGGGTGGCCAGCAGGCTAAGGACAGATTTAGCGACAAGGATGTGTTCCCCAAGGAAAACGAAGGAAGAGTTCGATGTACGCCTTAGTTCAATACGCTCAATGAGGGGGCATAATCACAGATTTTGGATCTTGACAGGTCAAGAGCGAGCCTTAAATACGTTGAAGGAAAGGTGCCAGTGTTCAATGAGGGGGCATAATCACAGATTTTGGATCTTGACAGGTCAAGAGGGAGCCTTAAATACGTCGAAGGAAAGGTGCCAGTGTTCAAGAAAGAGAAAAAAAAACAGTGAAAAAGGCCAGCCAGGTATTGAGTTCTGCCTTCTGGAACATTGATGGATAGCACACATAAACCAGCAGATTTGCCAAAAGTCTCAAGAAGCCGAGGTAAAGAAGCTGGCGAGGACAGGCCTGCATGACCAAGGGCATGTCGTGTGTGTACAGGATAATGAGAAATCCACCTCAGCAATGAGAAGTTACTTGGGCAGATCTGACAGGCCTTGTTGATGATGGCTTGCAGGAGATCCACAGCCAGAATATGGAGAGGGGACAGAGGATCCCTTAAGGAATATCAGGCCAGCAGTCGATTTTTTTTAACTAGGATTATTGATTTGAATTTACTGTCCTCGTATAGATCTAATTATCACATGAAAAATGACATAACATAAAAAGAGATTGAGTTTACCTGAGACTTTCTTTAGTCCTCAAAAGGTCATCATCGGCCATGGCAATGACAAGATTTGCATAAGCCAGTCGTAAATCCTCTGGCATTTCTTTGACTTGTCCATAGTCAAGCAAAGCTACCTAATAGAGGGTCACCATTAAAGGAAATTCATCTAAAAATATGTCTTTGCCATAAGGAAATATTTTGACATTTTTGTAATAAGCATCACTTGCCTCTGTGTTGTTGCAGATAAGGATGTTTCCTGGGTGTGGATCTGCATGGAAAAAGCCATCCTTCAAGATCATTTGGCCATAAGCAAGTGTAAGATCCGTTAGAATCTTCCTGCATTAAAGGAGAATATATCTTTTCAGATGGCTAGAGCACTCGAAGGAATTGAAGAAAGGACATGTTTGACATAAAATTTTAATACAAATATAAGGAGGGCAATAGCTATGGATTTTTATTCGGTCTAGTTGTAGCCTGATCAAAATGGTGTGGAATTTCCATATGTTCATTCTAGTAGTACTGACGCATTAAGAGGATACTTCAGAGAGAGAGAGAGAGAGAGAGAGAGTATGCCTCACAAAATAAGGAAATGAGAACCATACTCTTTTGGGATGAAGGGGCTTACTGCTTTGCCATTGCTGCAAGCTTACCAGCAGGATCAATTCCTCTTTTAGACATTTCACTGCTGAGATTCATTATTGGGGTTCCTTGTATGAATTCCATGACCAAGACCTCCCTATCAAAGTAGAAAAAATGTCTCAACAAAATGAAGTAAGACAAACTGATGACATGTACATTTTCCAAAGAAACAGAAGAAAGAGTTGTGGCTCAACAAAATGAAGTCACTATTGCCAGAGATCTGCCCAACATCAAAGGGCAAAACATTCAGAGGAAAAACAATTCTGTGGTTCATGGCCTTGCCCGGTACTGTAGGAGGGTGTTGTGTACCGCCCTGCATGTCGAAGCAGGTCTTGCGTGATTGTAAGAACTCTATTACTCATTGACTACCTAACTTGCTAATGAGCTTTTCATTTATCTAAAAGGAAATAAGTTCATACACAATGACACATTTCCTACATTTGTAGTACAAGAAGAATAACAAGGCATGGTATAAAATCAGCAACACACTTTTGATGTTATGACAAAAATAAATAAATTCATTATGGATAGTGATTCGCTCATGAACTCTAAAAATCCTAACCAGACAACACATTACAATTCAGCCAGAGGAAGGCAGATAGGGGGACAGCTAGATCAATAAAAATATAGATTAAAGGACAGATAAAGGCTAAATCAATCATACATAACATATTTAATGCCTGTCTGACCAGTACAGACTAATGCAAGTATTCATTATATGTAAGGAAGCATCACAGAGGATATCGTTTTTGGAACAGAAGCAAAGCCTGCAACTACCAGATGGCCCATTATAACTTCTCTAATGAATCCTTCCGAATGATGCAAGCTTTTTATTTACTTGTAACTATGGTGCAGAAGTAGGATTCAGTAAACCTGAAAAACAGGTTTGGCTGATTAAGAAGATATGGCAATGTACCTGCTAATCATTCCAGGAATCACACGAGGCACCACAACCGGAGATTTCTTATTGCTAACACGTAAGAATTCTCGTATTCTTTCCATTGCTCTTGCTTCTCGCACAAAATCAAACTCATAGCATATCTATGGAAACAATGAAGCCCAAAAGATCAATAATTCGCAGAAAACGGTTAAATTATTAGTTTTGATCTCAGAAAAGGTACACATTCTTATGAAAACAAATTGTACTTTCTCGTATCTCTTGGCGCATAAGAACCAAACTGGCACTCACATAACATATACTTGTATAGGAGACGCATCATGCAACTTTATGCATCGCAGTATACAGATATCTGGCCTGCTATAATCGAATACTAATTGTAAAAAAAATCACCAATAATGTCCCAGTAAATGGTTAACCTATCTTGTTTCTAATGGTCCAGATGTTGAATACTGAGATTGCATTTATTTATTCTTCCAGCAAGTAAATAGCCTTAAGTGGCCCAGTTTAGTCCACTTGTGGATGTGTGGATATGATCCATCATTTTATAACAAAATCTCCATTGACTTTAAATGACACCCCCTTTTTATCACAGAGTAAATGATTACATATGAACATACAGGCCATTCTGCCTTAATTTATGAAAAAAGAGAATAATAAAAACCGCAAGAGGCCCAATATTTCTAGACGGTTTAGAGCAGGTGCAGAGAAGTATACTAGGAGAAGCAAAAACAACAAAGTACTAGTGAAGTAAATAAAAACCTGCTTTTCCATCTCTTTTGTGGCGGAGAACAGATCAAAGTTGATGTCATATTTCTGTAAGAACAGGGCAAATGCTTGCATATTCCGGATATCAACCATCATCAATTGTTCAGCTCCTGGATGTTGAACCTGGATAGAACCAGATCCACTAGGGCACATCAGAGCATATCAGATAAGGAAACAGCTGTTTATGGAACACATACATGCAGTCCTAAGTCGTACCTTGACAGCAACATCTGTCTTGGATGATTTAAGCCTCGCTCGATGCACCTAACGATACATGAAACAGCAATGCTAATAAGTGAGAAGCTATCCCAATTATCTTCACAATAAAGTGTAGTGGCACAAAGAAACAAATGGTACATGCATAAGCCCAAGACTGAAAAGAAAAACCATGCAGAGCCCCAATGTTACAATTCACCGGATCTTACAGTCGCGAGATGTACCTAAACACGAACCTGTGCAATAGAAGCAGACCCAACAGGCTCAACCTCAAAGAAATCGAATATCTCATCAAAGCTCTTGCAGAACTGTTTCTCCACAACATCCCTGACAACTTCGATCGGCGTGGACGGAGCCTTGTCGCACAATGTAACAAGCCGCTTCACCCAGGCCGTCGGCGCCAAATCGGGCTTCCCCAGAATTTGAGCAGCCTGGTCGAAATAAAAGGTGAAAGAATGTGAGTACAGCTAGGCTGTGGCATCTGTTGGATTCAGCGAAGCCTCACAAAGCCACCCTCCGATTCATCAAGGTATAAGACAAGTAAGCAAGCCGCCCGATCAGAGGGCAAAACAGAAAGCGGCAGGCAGGGAGGGACCTTGAGGAAGAGGCCGCCGAGCTCGGAGCAGAGGGAGTACATCTTCTGGGCGCCGATCTCGTGCTGCTGCTCCCACATGGCCTCCCGCTCCTCCTCATCCTTGACGAACCCCGTGCGCAGCTGGCACACCTGGACCGACAACACCAGCCAACGAAACACCGTGAGCTCACACGCATACCACCGAACACCTGGCGCGCGCGCGCGGGCGGAGGCGCCGATGGAACAACAGGAGGAGGGGCTCCCTCCTCCCCGTGCCGCACGCACCTTGTAGCTGCCGTAGATGTCGATGGCGCGGACCCAGAACTGCGCGGAGCGGCTCCACGGGCGGAAGCGGTCGGAGAGGCGGTCCCGCAGCTCCTGCACCTGCGCCAGCGGCAGCGGCATTGCGGCCGCCGGAGGTGGGGGATGGAGGAATGTAGTCTAGAATCTAGATGCCCCCCTGCCTTAATGACGCGCGCCGCAGCATCCGACTCGTGGCTCCAAGCGGCGAGCTGGGGCGAAAGCGGAAAGTGGGAAAAGGCGTGGGCCTTTGCAGGCCACAGAAAACGCTCCGACGTGGTCGGGGACGGACGGACGGCTGTGATCGCGTCTGGGGGCGGCGGGACGGGTGGTCGTCTCTCGCTCCTCCGCCGGCTCTGCGTCTGTGTGAGCGTCAGACCGTCAGTTCTCCATGGCGGCGGCGAGGGCGGCCCGGCGGCTGTGCCACGCGGCGGCGGCGGCGCAGCCCCCGCGCCTGAAGAAGCTCGCGCTGCACCCGCCCAAATCGGTGAGTCGCTTGCCTCCCCCCTTCTCCTCCCCCTGCAGCGACGTTTTCCTCCTCCTCAGATCCCCTCCGATTTACCTGATTCCTGCTCCTCTCTGCTACTGTGGGCTGGTGGTAACTGCTCTGATTGGTGCGGTCTAGCCGTCTAGCCGTTGGGTGCTTCCAGTTTCAGCTGAATTGCCAGGTTCACGCCTTCACGGCAGCGCAGGAGAAAAGACATTCCGTGTGATGGTAATGCGCCACTTGTGAGCGCTGAAACTGACGTGAAATCCTGCCGTGCGGTCCATGGCGAGCCCCCTCCCAATCTGGTAGGGGAAAGCGACATTTGCCTCGCCATCTCTCGTAGTATTCTCCTTGCTGAGAGCTCTGGAATCTGGCATCTGATTGGTTATCCATTCCTGACCAGACGTACCGTATTTTCAGTACCATATGCATCTCAATGAGCTTATCCAGAATTCAGCAATTCATCCAGTTATCTCCATTGGCTGGATATTGCTGGTAAACAGTACAGTACCTACTATCTGCTACTCAACTGCTTGGCGGATCAGTACGTTGTGTGATATTATTATATGGCGATGAATTGGAACGTGACCTAGCACTAGAGGATCTTGATATACAATCTTATTTCTGTCTGCAACCCTAAAGCACCAGGCGTCTGCTATGACTGAAACAAACTTACACACGACAATTTGTTACAGAGAAAGACTCGCATTGTCTGAATGTGATAACCATTAGCACATAAAGTCGGTTGCAAAAATTGCTAGGAAATTATTTCTCCCTGATACTAACTTGCTGCAAGTGTCCTACCTCATATCAGTGAGCTGAACCATGTTTCTGGTTGTTCTCAGGTAGAGGTTCAATTTGCAGATGGCAGTACATTCCATCTGTCAGCTGAGTTTCTCAGAGTCTACAGCCCAGCAGCTGACAGCAAGATCAGATCAATAGCTGGCGAGAAGGTAAACTTTTACTGTATTTTCTGTATTCCTTTTCACCACTTGAAGTGGGGAAACCAAATTTTTTTAAGTTGGTGAGGGCCTGATGCTTCTATGGCAAGTTTAGAGCTGTTTGCTAACCCTGGAATGTTGACCTGTCCTACAAAAACTTGAACAATACACCTTTATAATATTGCTAGCATTGTTTTGTGGTGTGTATTTAGTTGTTTGCTAAGTATTTAACCCTTTAAATTATGCCAGGTTATATTTGGGCGCCGACATGTTGGAATAATGTCAGCTGAATCAATAGGAAACTATGGAGTCCGGTGAGGGTCCTATTCTTTGTAGAATAGATTTCATGGAGATTTATCTACTTCGGACAATAGTTTGCCTCCTGCAGAAAATAGTTGGTTGTGCCATCTCTATCTCTCAGAAACTATTAATTTGCTTTTGTCTGCAAGTCTCATCTATAGCGACTCTTTTGGACCACAGGATACTGTTTGATGATTTGCACAAGACTGGGATCTTCACTTGGGATTACTTGCACCATCTGGGTTCTAACAAATTCAGTCTATCACGAAATTATATCAGAACTTTGAGGAAACATGGTCTTAGTCGGGATCCTCAGAGAAGGAAATGATGATAAGTATTTGCGTGTGTTAAACATGTAGATACGACGGAACTCAAATAGGCTTTGCCTACCATGTCCTGGAATTCAGAAAAACTGTTGCCTTGATGGAGATGGATGGAGCTTCTGCATGTGTACATGGAATCTCTTATTTAGATAACTTGTTACATAGTGACTGAAACTGCGTTGAAAATATGGTAAAATTCTTTACACCGAGTTTATATATGTGCTGGATGGGATTGTATGTCTTTCTTGAGTTGTGCTGGTGGTAGAATTTGTTTCCTTGTCCATTATGAATTGTGCATGAAATCGTTTGTACTCTATATTTGCGGTCGAACAGCAGGGGAAAGTTGCCCGGTACTCTGCGTGGAGCATGGAGTCAATGAGCCATGGCACATGCGCATGAACACCATGGCGCATTCATCACTGCATGCCATGGGCATCTTTCTGGCCAGGAGCTCCAGCAAAATGGGTTCCTCATGAAATGTATCGTTACAGAGGGAACAACCTACTCCTCTTGATCAGATGAAGGATCTTAGTTGCACCCTCGTCCCCAGCCATGCGTGCCGCTCTTTGACAGCAGTACCCCTCAATCAGCTTGCCGATCTTTGACAGCACCAGCTTAGCGACGGTGTCGCTGCTCCTACTGGTGAGAGCATATGCTCGGGCTCGACAAAATATTTGGTTTACTCCAGTATCTCACTTCACA